TGAATCACGTATGACGACAATCGTCTGGACGATATCGTGCTGAGATTATCTTGTTTCATGGAAACCAAAAACTGTTCGATCGTTTGTGCGAAATCGTCCACACTATTCAAATTTTGCTTCACGTAACAGTAATAGTAACACGTAACAGCAACGCAAATACATGAATCAGTGTTTTGATGACATCGTTTTGTCGGTATCGTTTGAACGACAATCGTTTCAAAGTTACGTGATTCATGCCCTGGTTTCAGTTTTGTATACATGAACTACGCATGATTGTGTTAGTGCATGTGGAACATGCAAACAAAACGAAATAGAAAACATGTCTATGTGTGCGTGTCAGTCCACCGTCAATCCGCGATTTTCGCGGACTGAAATGAGCGAGGTAAACCCGAACTCTCTTCCCCCTCTTATCCACACAAAACCGGTTTTAGGCGGACTGAGCAGCCCAGTGTGCGGAGGCCCATTCAATTTTAGTTGGATTCCTATCTGAATTAGTATGGTGTCTGCATTACCGAGGAAAAGGTATATGTCCATGCTAGTGTTTTACTTTCTCTGTATTCTACGATCTCCGAATTTTCGTCAGTGTTGTCATCGAATACTCGCTTGATCCGATTTAAGTTTGGGAATTAACTCTAGGACTTAATCCGGATCAACTGCAGTTAATTCCAAGATAATTCCGAATTAACGAGTTGATCCGGACCAACACTGCCGTCTGTTTAAGCTTTAAGATAGGTCGCGTCAGCTGACACGATCTACGGTTTTACGTTGGTGGATAGTTGAGTTATAAGGACCGGTTGTTCAAGGTTTGGTTATCAGCAGTACATCATTATCGACGTTTTCGACATCATTCATATAACATGTGATCGATAAAGCAGTCGTTGTTTAACCGGAGCTTCCTCCGGAGAATCCACCATTTTGAATTTTTTAAATTTGATTTCAGATTCATAATCAACGACTTTAAAAACTCCCAATTATAAAATTTTAAACGATTCCAATTGATTTTGATTTTTTAAACCGCCTTATTGGATCCGCCATTTTGAATTTTTTCAATCTTATTTCTGATTCGTAATCAGCGACCCATATGTCCCCCGAGTAACGAATTCTAAGTGAATCCGATAAATTTTATAAAAACCTTCCGCCATGTTGGATCCGCCATTTTGAATATCGAAATTCTGATACTATATTGGTGATCAGCGACCCTAAAAACATTAGAATCCGTCTTGATCAAATAACTGACAACTATTTTAACAAACGGAATGACAAATTTATTTACGCATTTACGGACATGGCGTCTTCTATGGTCGCAGCATTTACGTAATACTGAATTTTCAATTCTGCCACGTTAATTTCTTCCCATAGAATTTTGGACGCAGCTTTGGTCCGTTTAACATGGAACATTCCATAATAATAATAATAATAGATTGGCGCTTACACATACATATGTTAGTATTTGGCCGAGCTTCTCCTCCATATATATACATAAAAACATACTGTTTCTGAAGTACAACTGTTTATTCTGAAGTACATGTGATGCTTTCTGAAGTACTCTTGGAAAAGGTGTAGAACAAGGTAGGTATGTATTCTTTTTTACAATGGAAGTAGGTATGTGTAAATTCAAAACTTTAAAGCCGTTTTTCTCGAGCTCCCTTTTTTGAGTTATGATACTATTGAAGTAAATGAGCGATATGTACATACATACAATATATAACTGCATCTAGAACTAAAAATCGTCAGAATCGCGCTTGCGACAATCTTTTATCCAGGCGACCCCATATCACTAGCTTATAGAGAAAAGTTTCAAAGTCCATATTTAAAAGTATAGAGCATATCAAAATAATGTCGACTCTAAAGTTAATAGGAACTTTTTTGGCAGATATGCCATTGAAAAGTATACCAAAAATCTGCGAATAACTTTAGTATCGACTTTATTTTGACTATAAATGTGCCCCAATATTTTTTATTTCAATATCTTGATGGTATGTATGAAGTATGGATTGAATGTCCTTCATATCAACAT